GATGTTTAATGGCCCACCTAATGCTCGGTCATTAATTTGAACCCCACTAGTTTCTATAATTGGACATTTGCTAACACTTGATCCACATAATTTAACTGTGAACCATTTATTATTAATGTCATTATACCCTTTTTTATAGTTTATATGCTGCGAAATCGACTCACTGGCGCCCTGATTGCCCTCGAATATAATGAAAAAAATACAAATTCGGGTTTTTGTTTTTTGAACCCATTTCGATCTTCAGGTGTCCATTTTATTAGGAAATAAAAATATGTCCAAACTGTTTTTGCATATATTTGGTAGATGATACACTAGAAGTAAAATGAACTGGTCATACCCACCAGTTTTTAGTAAATAGATGACAGTTCAAAAAGGCCTAAAGATCAACAGATACTGGAGGTATCCTATTCGCAACTTCAAATTGTTGGCATTGTTTTTTTTGTGAATATATTACAATCAAGCCTCATCAAAAATTAGTCAAAAATGGTAAGATCTCCGTCAAAAACAGTTCTTTTCTTAGAGATGAACAACTTATTAAGTTTATTAACTAACGTTTTTATTTTACTCTCATTTAATTCTTTTATTTTTTCATTTGTCACAAATAGTTTTCATGGTAGATAAATATAATGTTTTCTAATCTTTTTGACTGTAAGGCGATAATCTTAATGTTTTCATTTCCTTTCTTTAAAATTAGAATAAGTAAACTTTATATAAAATGTTCGTTTCTTTAACAGTTAAACGATTTCGGAAACTATGATTTTTATCTAATATCCTCAGTGATAAGAAGTTTCGACTTACCCCCTTGATTAAAACTACTTTTGACTTAAACCATTTAGACAAAATTACTACTATTCAAAATCAATTTTGGCCAAACTGTTTTTGTCTGTAACATACATATATATTTTTCTGTCGAACTGTATGTCTTAACTTATGGTAAATCCTAATAGTGCTACTTACTCTACAAGTTCCTTTGTGTGGAATGTACGAATGCCATTTATAGTATTATATTTCGTTATCACCTTGACACCTACATGTCAGCCTTGATATCCCAAAACCTTGCACTTTATTGACATATATTTCATCCACTTCCTTTCAATGTATGATTAGTTAAAATATCGTTTAACTTTTCGTATCCATTTTAGGTGAATAATTGCTAGAAGAAATGTTACGGGATCACATAACTACAATAGATAACATCGCATTTTTCTAACTTTTCAGTGGATTCGCCTAAGGAATCTCCATCTGTCTAATTTACCTTATTTGAAATTCTTATTTCTTCAAAGGAAACGAAACGATACGAAGTAGCAAAGAAGCAACTGACCGGCGGCGGCACGCGGTGTGGCGTTACGAATATGCTTTTTTGCGGTCATTGAGTTACAAACCGCAGGAGATCGGTCTCTGCTTAGTTAGTATGGCTTTTCATCATTAATATTACGTACATGCAACATAAAGAGGTTAAAGAGATTAACTTGGTTTGTGAAAGCCAGACTCGTTGTTGAGCTCAGGATAGATTTGTCAGAGTTTAGAAAATAGGTCCATACTATAAAGCCTAGTACCTACTCATTTGGCAACGTTGCGATCTAATCACAGTTGTGATGACAAATCCTCTGTAACAGCTAGGTCGCGACGGGTGCATCTTCTATCTTCGTTGCGTTTTCGCGGCTGACATCACCGAAACATCATTGTCTAAATGTACGGGAAAATGTATGTGTGAAATATGTCCAACATTTACAGAAGTATTTTACTCACCGGGGTTAGAAACGTATTAACATACTAACGACAAACAATTATCCCCTTCACTTTTTTCGTTTTACTTACTGGAAGCTCTGTCAATTGGATAAAATAATATCTGTACTTCAAAAATAACTGGACTAACGCAGAAGTTGGCCATACAGTATTTGTGTTTTCAAATTATTCTTTGTCAAATATTCCTATGAGAGTCCTCTTTTTTAGCTGCTATCTAATCCTAAAAGTAAATTACATAATTACGACCCCTAACGGATTTTTATGATAAATAACATCCGAAAACATATCTCACCAAAATGTTCACGATTACAGTACTTCTTTGCCAGTGGAGTGGCAAGTAAAAGAGTGTAGTATAGATGTCCTTCCCTTCATCTATTCCTTCTCAAAAGGTGGCGTCAAGTTAGCAGCATCATCATCACATCATAAAGGATTAATACAGCACAAGATGAACATTTGAGGGAAAAAATAGTTACGAACATGTGCAACAGAGGATCGAGTCAGTCAAGCACGCCTCTACAATTAGTCCATTGACATTGTTTTCCTGCGCTACGGGTAGTGACCGTCCATCTGGCAACGTTGCTCCTTCCCATGTCTGCACGGTAGCGCCTACCACGACACCGATGTAGTACGGGCAGAACAGTCAACCATACCGGTACGCTGGGCGGTGATCCCAGATAGCCAGGAGATGCGTATCGAAAACAGTTCTCTACCGTACGTAAGTTTTAAAGACAAATATACGATGAAATGTGTGAAATATGACTAATAGATCACTAGAATTACCGGGGTTGGAAGCGTATAATTATACTAACCCCAAAAAATTGAGATATACAAAAACTACAAAGCTTTTTCGTCCTTGGCATAGTAGTAGCCTTGTGTCAAAATTTCATCAAAAGTCGAGCAAAATCTAGACGACCAAGGATTTGCGGACAGACCGACGGAAATGAGTGACGTGGTTTTTCGAGATAACATCCAAAAAATGCAATATCTGATTTTTTCGCGATAACAGTACCTCCTCGTTCAGTGGTATCTGAAGTAAAACATCCTGATTGTATACTAAGTGACATATAAATCCGAACACCCAGTTTAAATGGTTTTATTTTAATGAAATTTTGTATAAGTACTTTATGAAGCATAATAAGTAAATGATATTTCAAAATGATTGCACTGCTTTAAAGCCCTTTGACCTTTAATAATGTGTGGATGCACCCTGATGTGCTACGCATTCTCCAACGCGCCTAGGCATGCTTCTGATCAGGTGGTCAATGTCCTCCTGTGGTATCTCATTCCAGGCAACCTCTCGAAGTGCTTCTAAAGTCTGAGGAGGACGTTGCAAATTGAGCAATATCCTACCCATCATATCCCACACGTGCTCAATTGGGGATAAGTCGGGAGATCTTGGTGGCCATGGTAACAATGTGACATCATTATGTTGAAAGAAGTCTATTGTGACTCTTGCAACATGTGGTCGGGCATTATCTTGTTGGAAAGTTGGATCTGCCAGGGTGTCAAGATAGGGTAAAAGATGGGGTTCTAGAACTTCGTGGATATAACGCTGCGCGTTCATGTTACCTCTGATGAAGATTAAAGGTGACCTGGAACCATAAGCTATAGCACCCGAAACCATAACTCCAACAGTGTGATGAACATGTCTTTCAACAAAAAACTGTGGATTCCTTCTTTCACCACGTCGCCTTCTAACCCTGGAACGACCATCGTGCATGCCTAAACAAAATCGAGACTCGTCACTAAAGACAATACTGTTCCATTCCTGATCCCAGAGTGACCGTTGTCTGCACCACTCAAGGCGATTACGTCGGTGTTCTCGAGACAAAGGGAGGACCCAGTGTGGCCGGTATGAAAACAAGCCAAAACTTCTCATTCGTCGGTAAACACTTCGCATGCCAATAGGTCTTCCGTGTTCTGCAAACCATTCATTTGCAATGGACCTGGTAGTGGAGAAACGTTCCCTTAAGGCCAATAATCTTAGGAAGCGATCTTCACGGTCTGTTGTTCTACGGCGGCGTCCAGTGCCCCCTTGCTCTTTGCGTACGGCCTTCTCGAAGCCATGCCTGACAACACCCAACCACAGTGTCTACACTTCTTTGCACTCTAACTGCAATTGCCCGAAAAGAAAGTCCAGCTTCCCGAAGTCCCACTATACGGCCCCTATCAAACTCACTAAGTTGACGAAATCGTACAGGTCTCCTTACTCTAGGCATCGTAACCGATCGTAAAGGATGTCAAGAATCAAAATCCGCCAACGTTGATTCTTTACTGCGGCTGAAATATTCATTTTTAGAGCGTTAGTGAATTAAAAAAAAGCAGTATAAAAACCGGAATGTCCAACTGATAAGGGTGAAAATTTTTTCACTTGTTATTTACAGTAAGATAAATACATTCACCAACTTTTATTAAAATAAAACCATTTAAACTGGGTGTTCGGATTTATATGTCACTTAGTATATTCAGGTCACATCTTTTGGATTGCAGATGATCAAAAGGTACAAAATCACGCCAAACTATCTTATAGTCTCTTTTTTGTGTTCGAAACAATTGGGTTGGATATAGACAATTTTTTATTCTGAAGAACATCCAACAACTGCTATGACATATGTTTCCAACAATTGTTGTGATATGCTAAAGCATCATGTTTAGTTTAACAATATCATTGTCAACAAGTATTTTTTTCATTACGGTGCCAGTCAGAATTATGCTAAAAATATTGCCTTCGAAATAAAGTTGAATACATTTGACGCAAGCTGGCCTATGCCATAGTTCCCCTATTAACGAACTGACAAACATTGCATTTAATTCATAGGTTTATAGGGACTAACGAACTCCGACTAGGTCGAAGGAGTAAGCCTACGATTTGTTTTTCTCCAAAATCTCAGCGTGCAGTCAGGATACTACAGTGGTCGTGCCATTAGTTAATTTTTTGACAGGTCTATACTTAATTCGTTTTAGTGTTACTTTTTAAAAGTGCGACTGTTTGGAGATTATTGCGGTGCGAGACGATTTTAGGACATGTAGATACAACCTCGTCACTTTGGTAGGCAATGGTAGTCTAACGAGTCAAAATATGCAATTTTGTCTACAAACAATACAATGCAATGGCTTGACTTCTAATCTATGCGAATTAGTTGATGGGGATGTGAGCCTACATCCGGTAGTATTTTCTTTGATCCAGCTCGCTTGCTCTGTCCAATCTGTGTTCATTTATTGGTAAGGGTGGGGATCAGAAAACAATTAGCGTGACTATCTACACTTCATTTATACAACTGGTCGTTATCGCAAATCAGAATTTTATTCAAATATTCACCAAACATTTCTTCATTCATTTCTAACGTCATGTTGGGGGCAAGTACACTTCGGATAAATTATTTCCCCATGCATATGCTTTACTGCAATGAACTCTCCAAGCTTTCCAATCGACTGGTTATACTCGCTGTCTCCAGTCCTCACATTGAGAATCTGATTGACTTCCTCATTCTGGCCAATGTTGCTCTCAGGAATGATAACAAGCGGTCTTTCCATTGCACCTTTGCGTAGATGCGTTGGTTCTCGAAAATCACATGTGTGAGTAGTTTCAGGTAGAATCCAGTCATCTGGCAGGACTTTTTGGTGCTTAACGCCTTTTGTTAAATTCTGGCGGATTACTTCTTCTATGTCGCAGTAGTCTACTTCATATGTAGTTTTGCCCTCCATTATTTGGTCTCCCGTTAGTACGATGTGGTCTAGTGGGCCTTGAAAATACATTTCGCCTATTTTCTTCCGTTCTTCTCTCACCTGAAATATTTGTAATATCATTGCTATCGAATCAATAATCACAGGAAAGGTATTAGCTTCTGTTTGGAAACAAAATGATCTTGGATGAGGAGCCAACGACATGACTATTATTCTCTAAAATTGTTCCAAAAGAGTTCAGTTTTTCGTCGTTATAGAGAAAAGTCATATAATTTGATTAGGTGGTTCAAGCCAAATCATTGCTGGTCGTCGGAGTGGTCTGTAGGAACTTGGACCTTGCAGTTCATAGGTCTATAAGGTTTTACAAGCCTGGAACTAGTCAGTATCCCCTAAATCTCATGCTACCTAACTAAAGATGAATCATTGAAGGTGTTCCTATCTATGACAACTAGAACATATTGCTTGAATTATATTATCGATGGCAGATCTAAGCTCTCTGGCGCCTGAAGCCAGCGGCATCATGATTCTCTTTGGTCCCTAGGACCGCGTTGTAGGTGCCCCTGGCGTCCCGGTGCTCAGTGCACCGTGCCTTATGTGCGTCATCTTAGATCCACCCCTGTACATTATGATAAATTACCATACAAAAAACGTTAATTCAACAGAGGAGGAAGGGCTACTTCTTGGTGCAATGTACGTTTTCAAAATTAACTAAGTGATGAATGTTTCACTGCCTGCGAAATAAAACCACCGAGGTGGTCGAAACATTAATAAATTTTCAATTTTGCTTCTATGATTTTATTTACTCGCCAGTGAAATATGAAGATTCATCAGAAAAACAATCACATGGTAGGTTTCATATGTTCTATCTAATGTAACACACCCAAATGCAAAATAACGATACCTTCTCTAAATACTGGTCTCCGTCTTCAGTCGGTGCTTCAACTTCCTTTTGATCAATAACTAAATACTTCTTGAATCCTTCAGTCATTGGATCTTTGAATTCTTGCGGTGTGGCATCATGTATTTCATAAGTGATGGGTCTCTTTATGTAGTCTTTCTTATAAGTAGTCAGGAACTGACAACTTGGGGGTTTCACTTCTACCTCTATTTCCACGCCCAACATTTTCATTAATTTCTCCATTTTTGGGTCTGTAAAAGATTCAGATGAAAAGGTTGAATTTTACGTATGACAAAATATCTGACACGTCTACTACTGTCACCAGCACAGTAAAGATTGAACGATGGTGTAATAGGAAAGCCGGATAGAGATGTAATCTGGAAAGCTGGAAGTAGATGGCACTAGATATGTTCGAGGTAATGTCAAAGTTTATAAACAAACAAAGATGTCGGCTCCTGATCAGTTTCACGTCTCACAAACACGAAATATCTAGATTAGCTCTTCTTTAATATCTGAACATCTAAGACTGATTTATTCTTTATTTCTTTACATTGACTACTTTTTTCATATAATTTTCATAACTATCTTTGGCAATTTTTGTTGAAGAGATTCGCTTTTCTGCCAGTTAGAACCTCAGTAATTTTTGGGCAAAAGGCGCCCGGCCTACCCTGATGAGTAGAAGAAGTCAAGGCAAGTTTCACGTCAATAGACGTCAAAACGCGATGAATCAAATCTGTTTAATCAAATTCAAGCGGATAACCAAATGGAAATGGTATTTACCATTTTGGATTGGTATTTATCGATCCGTTCAAGCGAGTGTGGTTATCAGTTTGGTTATAAGATCCGTGACGTCATGAATCAGCTGTTATACAGGGTGTCCCAGAAGTCGACGTCAAGCCGAAACCGGGTGATAGGCAAAGTCATAACAGCTATCAGAAAAATATTTAAAAAAATTTTATGTATGTGTTTTGAAAATTATAGGTCTTTGAAAAAAATATAGAAATTTCACACCCTACGGCAGTCTGTCAACTCCTGTTACTACAAATATTAACTTTTTTTGGATTTTATTTTTACAATGTAATGATGAATAATGCATCTTCAAACTGGTGTCTCAACCTTACTGCCAACTTTTCTCGTTCAGGAAAATCTGCCACTTACTTCCCAACCAAGTATTCCAAAGTAAAACTTTGCTCAACTTTAACTGGCTGTACTGGAAAAAAATGTACTACGAGAGTTTGGCAAGTAACCTTAAAAGTTGGCGCATTTAATAAGGATTCCAAAATGGTATAACACGTAGAAGAATACTCGTTAACTTATGCACAATTTTTATTTGAAGAAAAACTGATGAAAATTTTTTAAAATTTCCTAATTAAACAGCGATTATGAAAACGCACAAGGACCCTTAAAATGCTGCTGATGATGATTTACCTTTACAGCAAATGCTCAAACTGTTTTCCTTCAGCCGCAATACACGCTCGACATCTTCTTAAAAAGATTGGGTTATTAAACGAGCGAATCCACGGTTATTAACAAACTCAGCTGCTTCCAATAGTCTTTGCCGTAGCTCAGCTACATTTTGAATCGGCTTGAAATACACTTTTTCTTTTACAGTTCCCCAGTAAAAAAAATCTAACGGATTCAAATCTGGTGACCGGGCTGGCCACGGTATTGTACCAGACCGCCCTATCCAACTGCCTGTAAAGTTTTGATCGAGATACTCTCTCACTGAGAGTGCATAGTGAGCTGGGCAGCCATCATGCTGAAACCACATGTCCCTGTAAATACTCAGTGGCACGGCCTCCAATAAATTTTCTAAATGATTTTGCAAAAAACCTAAATAAACCTCAGCAGTCAAAGTCTCTGGGAACTCAAACGGACCGATTATTTTACCATTTAAAATTCCTGTCCAATGGTTTATCTTGAAGCGATATTGAGATTTATCTTCTCTCATCAAATGTGCGTTTGCTACGTGCCACTCGTGTAAGTTATGCAGGTTAATGCACCCATATTTCTTAAATGAGGTCTCATCTGACCATAAATTTTTTTCAAAGAACCGTGGATCTTCCCTGTGTCTTTCTAACATTGTGCGACAAAAAGCAACTCGGGGCTCATAATCCCGGGGCAGAAGAGCTTGAACACGCTGTACATGGTATGGATGGAGCACGTTTTTTTGCAAGATTCTATGGGCTGTACTTTTGGGCACACCTGTTTTTAGTTCTATTGCACGCACTGAAGTACTCGGGTCTTCTTCGACAGCTCCCAACACCACGTGTCCGTAAGGAAGGAAAGATCTTCCCTCACCAAGTGATTGGTTTGGTAGTTGGCCCTCTGAGAACAGTAAGCGGTGCACATTTGTAAACACTCGATGGTCTGGATGACGAGCTGCATTCGGGTACCTCTCACAGTAAAGTCTCGCTGCAGCACTAGCGTTGCATCTGTATTTCCCATAAATGAGGTGCATGTTAGCATATTCTTGTACTGTGTACACGGACATAACGGCACTGCACAATCACAATATCAAAGATAGTCTAAGGAAAGCAAATGTTGTTTTGAAGAGCAATTAAACAGTCCAAATCCAAATCACAAGCGATCAACAGTCCAGTTCACGAATCCAAAATTAGTAACAGTACGAAATCAACAAGCACGAACATGTAAAGATGCGCAGTAAACGAAGGAGTACTGATCGGTATCAAAGTGTGCAATAGCAAGTAAGTGATGTGCTTCATCCATACCACATACAGCGTGTTCAACCTCTCCTGCCCCGGGATTATGAGCCCCGAGTTGCTTTTTGTCGCACAATGTTAGAAAGACACAGGAAAGATCCACAGTTCTTTGAAAAAATGTTATGGTCGGATGAGACCACATTTAAGAAAGATGGGAACATGAACCTGCATAACTTACACGAGTGGCACGTAGCAAACCCACATTTGATGACAGAAGATAAATCTCAATATCGCTTCAAGATAAACCATTGGACAGGAATTTTAAATGGTAAAATAATCGGTCCGTTTGAGTTCCCAGAGACTTTGCCTGCTGAAGTTTATTTGGATTTTTTGAAAAATCATGTACAAAATTTATTGGTGGACGTGCCACTGAGTATTTACAGGGACATGTGGTTTCAGCATGATGGCTGCCCAGCTCACTATGCACTCTCAGTGAGAGAGTATCTCGATCAAAACTTTCCAGGCAGATGGATAGGGCGGTATGGTACAATACCGTGGCCAACCCGGTCACCAGATTTGAATCCGTTAGAGTTTTTTTACTGGGGAACTGTAAAAGAAAAAGTGTATTTCAAGCCGATTCAAAATGTAGCTGAGCTACGGCAAAGACTATTGGAAGCAGCTGAGTTTGTTAATAACCTTGGATTCGCTCGTTTAATAACCCGATCTTTTTTAAGAAGATGTCGAGCGTGTATTGCGGCTGAAGGAAAACAGTTTGAGCATTTGCTGTAAAGGTAAATCATCATCAGCAGCATTTTGACGCCCACTGTTGTGCAAACAGTTATCCTTAAGGCGTTTTCATGATCGCTGTTTAATTAGGAAATTTTGAAAAATTCTCATCAGTTTTTTTTCAAATAAAAATTGTGCATAATTTAACGAGTAATCTTCTAAGTGTTATACCATTTTGGAATCGTTATTAAATGCGTCAACTTTTAAGGTTACTTGCCAACTCTCGTAGTACATTTTTTTCCAGTACAGCCAGTTAAAGTTGAGCAAAGTTTTACTTTGGAATACTTGGTTGGGAAATAAGTGGCAATTTTTCCTGAACGAGAAAAGTTGGCAGTAAGGTTGAGACACCAGTTTGAAGATGCATTATTCATCATTACATTGTAAAAATAAAATCCAAAAAAAGTTAATATTTGTAGTAACAGGAGTTGACAGACTGCCGTAGGGTGTGAAATTTCTATATCTTTTTCAAAGACCTATAATTTTCAAAACACATACATAAAATTTTTTTAAATATTTTTCTGATAACTGTTATGACTTTGCCTATCACCCGGTTTCGGCTTGACGTCATAGTTATCACCGCAAAATTGTGGTATTTACCCAACTCCGGAGTAGTTTTATATTTCTGGTTATTATTTGACATGTGACAAGTTAGAATTTTGCCGGGTATTGGATATTTTTATTGTACTTCAGCTTCATTTTTGGGAAACTTGATACAGGCTGACTTCAGTTTTAGCATAAGAGAGCACCTTATTATTTATAATCATCACTGTTGTTGGGGACACTTTAAATCTAGTTCCTACACTTAAAAAAGTATCCTGTATAGCCATATACCACAAGAATATTAAAATATGGCCGTATAAACTCACTGGATGATGTCCACCTGTATACGGTTTTGTTAATATCTTTTTTCATCGCTTTTTCATCATTTCTGCTAAATCAATAAATATTTTCTTTGACATGTGGAAAAGTTTAGAGAATTGAAAGTTGTCTACAAAGCCATGGTTCCATCAGTAAAAATTTTTTTCGGAAAAAAAAAACATTCCTCCCATTAATATTATGAAAGTTTTCTTTTTTCAACTTTCCATGCCCCGTTGTAGACGAAAAAGCACCGATTATTAAGTGATAATAAAAATAATCAGAAATTATATACGCGCTTTTCTAAAATAAACAACTTGCAACAAACCGCGATTAAAACCAACGCGTTCAAGCGATTCGAGTAACTGACGTCACCATCCCGTGTGTCATCTTGAACCGTATTATAACCGCGGTACATAATACGGAAATTTTGGTTATCCGCTTGGATTTGATTTTTGTCTACGCTCTATTGTTGACAGTTTGACCTCCAACGACATTAACGCCGCCTAGCAAGAGCAAAATATGACATCGCTCAGATAGTTGGGCGCTTCTTTATTGAATCAAAAGCCACTGTGACAAATAAAAGAATAACTTTTATTTACTGAATAAATGAAACATATTAGTAACACTTTATTTCATTATGTCACTTTTTTAATGCATACTTAATCATTATGTATTGTATTCAAGTTTTTCTAAACTCTTCCGAACGGTCTTGCACGTAAGAAGCTTTCATACAAGGCCGATATAATGAATTAGTCGTTTAACTTAAAACCAATGTTGTCCTCCTTATATTACTTAACAACATAAAAAGAGCTTTCATAAAAATGAAACATTTATGTACTCACACATATTCTAATAAAAATACTGAACGAACATCGCCTGAACACTATTGTAAATAGTTTAATCATATTAGACGAAAATACCCCTGGTTTGCGAAAT